ATATATATATATATTATAAGCCTTTCCCCAATCTTTGTTAACGTAAATCAGGAGGAGTTATAGAAAGGTGAAGAAATAAAGTTAATTTTCTATATGCTAAATGTTTTGATATTTCACAAAGCAATGCACTGTATGAATGCGTCAGAAAACTACCAGTATATTTATATGTGGTATTTATATTTGAAGATCTTTTAAAATCTTTTAATTGGATTTTTTTAAAGAGGTATTTTCCTTATATTTGGTGAAAAACAACTTAATTTTAGGTTTTAATCAAAGGTGGTATTAAAGGCGTTTCACGCTGTATTGGAGGTAATTCAGAAGCCTAAAAACAAAAAAGTTTGTTGGCTTTATCAAATAAGAACAAAGAAATAACGTTGCATTTAACCCCGATTTTGTCTCTCTTTTAGTTTTTTTATATTTTTGCGTGACTCTATGTATTTAATATTAACGGCTTATTAGCAGAACTTTGTGATGAGCTGTCAAACCTGTATAACAATATGTATACGATAACAGTATGTGTATAATAACAATATGCATGCATAACAATAAATAAATATATATAAACAGATACTTCCACAGTTGCAGTGGGATTCAAACCTGTTGTCTCCACGCTCTAATTTTAAGATGTTGGGATAGCCCTGATGCGTTACAGCTATTAATTTGGATTAGCCCTTTACAGCCTTTTGTATATTTTAAAATAAGCATGTTTATAAGTTTGGTACTTGTTTCCTCATAGAAATGAAAGCAACTAAAACGAAGTTAATAAGCCTTTATAAAATTAAATTAAAGGTTATCAAACTGAGCAGTTTTGTGTTATCTCAAACTATACTAGTACTCTTTTTTTAAAATAAAATTAATAACGTTTACCACATTTACTACCAAAGAGAATGATATTAAAACATATTTCATCGTTAATTTCATCAAAAGCCATTAGCAAAGTTCTACGGTAAAAATGATCTTACTTTTCGGTGTAACCATAAAGCCAGGAAACGCAATTAATTTTGACTATACTTTTTTTTTTCAGAGCAGACTCCTTGTTTTTGACAAAGTGGCATTCAACATTTCAAAAATTTAACATGGTTAAAATTTATTAATTTTAATATTATAAAGCATTTATGTGCCTTCCTTCTTTACTCAAAAACAATAAATTGATTTGACTAAATTTGTATAAATTATTTAATGCTATTCTTGATTTACTAGTAAGTGCTTATTGTTTTGTTTTGATGACGTTGCATTTAGCACTTTTTAAGGGACAAAAATTTAATGTAATTAACATTTCACCACATCTTAACAATATTGAATGTTTACTAATTTGCGTTTAAATAACATGTCTTTGTTTTGTTTTAAAATAACCAGCAGTTTTTTTGTGAATGAAAATTTAATATGACTATAACGGATTAATTTTTTAATTCTATTCTGCCTCAATATTTGATTTTTGTATGATATAGCTACATTTACATAACTTTATAGTAGCATTTTGTTTTTGATAAAAATCAATTTTTATAAACAAACATTGGAAAAATTGAATAAGAATGAAGCGAAAATTATCTAAAAAAGCATTTTTTGTAAACATGTAGATAAATACCTGTGTAAATAAAGTAGATAATGATACTCTTGAAACTTAATATAGTAAGAAAAAGATAATGGAATATTTAAGTTTTTTTTCTTATTTTCAATGTTAAAAACAATAAATACATAAAATAAATAGTATTTAATTTACAAACACAGTAATTGCACTCAAAATATGTTGTGAGTGTGATTATTGGCTTGAAAAAGTGTGATTATTGGCACCATTTATTCTGTTTAAGTTATCAGTGTGTTTTTTTAAAAGGTTAAAAAGAAGAACATAATGTTCTTGCTTATGAAAATCAGCCATAAAGTAATTATCGTAAATTATAATAAGCGTTAAAACGGGACACCTGGGTTCATCTATACGTGACTTAAAGGTATAAAAAGTATGTAGGCTGCTATTTGGCTTTTAGCCAAATAAATTAAATATCTTTACGTAATCATTAAAGATATAAAAAATGCTTGATGTTTCTTAGATGTTTAAGATTCAACTTGATATGAGGAATAGATTTATGCATATTTCTTAAAAATAATATCTTAAAACTCACAAGCAGTAGAAAGTTTTATTAAAAAAGAACTCAAATGATTTATGAAATATTTCTTTGGATTTTCTTCTTGTTGCATAATTTCACTAAAATATCATAAATTCATTCTCCCAAAATCATGTTGAATACAAAAAATTACACGATTTAATTTTTTTAAAATTAATATGATTTGCAAGTGACTGCGTTGTATCTTGTGTTTACAGTTAGCGGCATTGTTGAAACATACTGAACTTAAATTCAACCCCCCCTAGGTTTGGTCCAACCCACACTTATAAAAACGTCAATTTTACGTTTTACATCTATTAAATAATTGACAGTGAGACCTTTTTATGTCAAAATATTTGAAGGTAACAGCAACTCACACTTTTAGAAACTTAACGGGTGCTTTTTTAATGATCCCAGATTTGAAATATTGGTAGAAATTTGTTGCGTTCTGCTTAGGAAACAAGTTATTTATCGTAACTACATTTTGAAATTGATTATAATATTCGTTAACTTACTAGAAAAACTACTTACTGAAAATGTTTTTAGTTGTATGTCAGACGATATATACTAAAGTATTAAAAAAAAACGTTATTTAAATTTCGTTTGCAGACTGCATTACGTTGTTGCTGCAAATAGTCCTTTTGTAATTATGTTTGATTCTGTTCCTAATATTTAGTGTTAGCAGCACCATCTTTTGATAAAATTTGCACCTAATTTAAAAACTTAGTTAAAAAAATTAATCGGTTTCCTAAACAAAACAGGCAATTTAATGTCTTTCCGATTTTCTTAAATTAATTTTCGAAATTGTCAGTCATTTTAGAACACTCGTAAAAGATTTTATTAAATCTTTTAATGATTAAATACTAAAAGATTTTATTTTAAGTATTAGATTTTAATTAAAATAAATTTAAAAAAAATTATTTTTAATCGCAGAAAAGGGGTTATATCTTTGTCTCAATGCGTATTTATTATTAAACCACTAGTGCAAGCTCATTTTTGTACTCAAGGTTATAGAAATGTATCACAAGGTTTGTTTTTTGATATAAATTACTTTTTATAACTATTATTTTAATATCAATAGACAGAATTAATACGTAGTTCATAATACGTAATTCAATTATAGCTCTTGTTATTTTTAATTCATACTCAAAAATAATTTTCCTCAATGACAAGAAAAAAGAAGTTCCCAATTTGTTGTTGACGAATACTCAGTGTATACATGATTATAAGATTTATTTTCTCAAAGTTATAAGAATATAAATTTTAATGTTATTTATTTTACATTTATATTCAGTTTAAAAAAGGAAAACTTGTTTCAACCTTTTTAATTAGAATAAAAAATTTTTAAGCAGTATTTTGTTTCTTAATTTCCCAGTTGATTTCACTACACATCAATTATCAAACATTTTATTGAAAAATTGCAGTTTAATTGAGATTAATTGGCAATTTTCAAACCATTTCAAAAATTTACAAACAATTCAAATTTTTCAAGTAAAAAAACTGTCAGACGGAATTCTTTATATTGTTAAAATGATTTCAAGTCTAATGTAGAGGAGAACACTTTTAGAACATTTGCGATTTGTGAATTATTTTTATATAACATTTACAAATCCTAAGCTGAAAATTTAATTTTAAAATTACAATTTTAATAAGTATTTATAATTAAATTTTAATAAGTAATTAAAATATTTTTCCTTGAAGAAACGCTGTTCACTTTTGAAAAATAAACTTAATGTTTTTTTAAAAATCTCTTTAAAAAGATATTCAACAACTAAGCAACTGTCAAGAAAATAATACATAATGCTCTTAAGTACAGCGTGATAAATTTATTATAAAACTCCATTTTAGTGATAAATTTATTATAAAACTCCATTTTAGTGATAAATTTATTATAAAACTCCTTTGTCAAAATATTCTCGAACATTTTTCAACAAAATTTTATCTTTTAGACTGATTGTTCATCAAAAGAAAGAAGAAAAAAAACGCATTTTCAATGGAATACAAAAAAAAAAAAATATTTATTGTTTGATTTGAAACGATTAACTCAGCCGGTAAAGTTGAAAGTGAGAGAGTAGAGAAGGGAGACAAAAGATCTATGTTGCAACGTTCGAAAGAAACGGAAGGAAAATTTCCTTCAAATATTTGAAAGAAAAAAAAATAATAATTCTGCGCGTGGATGTGGTCTTGGCGAGAAATAAAAAAAACCCAGGTAAATAAGTATCTTTCGCCAAAACCCACCTGACTAGCGGAAGGAGTGACTAGAGCAGTCAATGAAGTAGAAGAATCATTCTTAATTCCGCGACATTCGAATACTTATCCTGGGCATCTCTTTTCATTATCCTCTAATCATCCAAAGATGAATGGGCAAACGAATGGGCAAACTAATGGTGTGAATGGAGTAAAAGGTGAGTGGTATCTTTTGCACCTAAAATAGTATTTTATAAATGAAGTTATCAATTATTATTTATAAATAATTATATCTTTTTTATTGAAAAGATTTATAGTTTGTTAAATTATAAAATATATATTATGCATTGATATAACTATGGTAATTTTAAAAACTATTTGTGCCTTATCTAAAATATGACAAGACTTTTTTTCTGTTAGATATTTATAATTAAACAACATTAAATACAGTATAATAATATTATAAACAATATTGTAATAATAATTTGTAATAATTTGTAATAATATTATAAACAATATTATTACAAAATATTAAAACAGATAAATCTGGATTTTAAAAGGATTTTCTTATTTTTATTGTGCGTAGTGTTTGTTGGGCTTTTATGATTAAATAACACATTTCTTTAAAAAAATTTGCAGGTTAAAAAGCAAAAAGGAAATTAAAAATAATTTTATGGTTTACAATTGAATAGAATAACACAGTGAGTGAATTTTTGGAGAATTTGAAACTACTTTCTTTAAAAATATATATATTTTTTAAATTCATTACTTTACGAGTGTTTATAAATAATGATAAGAAAATAAATTAATATTATATCATGTATTATATGACGTATTATATTATGCATTATGTATGATAATATATAATTAGGTGTTAAATAATAGCAGGTCTTAATGCACAATTTATATAACACATCCTTAATAAATCATTAATACTACATGCATTCTCATTCGCTATAATTCCTTTGATTCTAACTAAGCAACTGTATCTGTACTCTTAACTCATCTCACGAACAAACAGCAATACGAACATACGAATTTCGGCAGAGTGCTGCAATTTTTCAAATATGTGTCATATAGTCAACGAATTAATATTACTTTTTAGAAAAAATTTATATATATATATATATATATATATATATATATATACGGT